GGGGGGGGGGAATCAGGGGGATCTTTTGTAATTATATTATCTGTTTTCTTGGTGGCCATGCACTTATCTTATTCTTACATGGCTTGCATGTTTCTTGCAGTGGTTACCTTTATGCTCACATATCATATCTACAAGAAGACTGTCCAGCATACCTTCTTTTGCTCTCTACTGACCGTAGTGCTTTCTTTGAACTGGCTGGTTCCAAACAGAAGATTTTAGAGGTAATCATTAACTTAAATTGTTCCAATTTTTAYTGAGAACATTCTAGTATTGTGATTTATCAACATCATCACAAACATCTTTTTTTTCCACTTAGAGATTAAATAGATATCACTGTCTGGAGGCAATAACAGAAGCTGTAGCAACGAGAAGTTACAACACAGGTTTATATGTCATTTCACTTGGACTAAGTTACATTTTGTACATTAAACAATCTGTTAATAGCAAATATTATTAACTGTTAAAGTCAAATTTGCCTTCTTCCAGATCAAGTAGGGATTCCAGACTTGTATCACTTTATATACAAATCAAAAAGTACTGCACAATACACTTCACCAGAATTGCATGCGCCTTATCTTGAGCCTGAAGAACAAGAAAGGTAAGATAAGATGGAGATTGACAATGATAGTTACATACATTCTTYGTGCAATGATTCATTGTATTTTATTCAATATCAGGTTATTTGGATTATACTTGTATCTTCATCATCGCATTCATTCCTCTGCAAGACCACTAAAAATTCTTTGTCACGTGGGCACTAGAGAAATGCTTCTTGGCTGGGTAAGATGGAGTAAGGATTATCTATTCCAGTTCTCATTCCCTTACTTTTCTGGAATTTCAGCTTTTTACACAACATTTTGTCAACAGGTGACCTCAGGGTTTGAACTCTATGCTTCATTTAGTCCATTGGTCACAAAGCCTCTAGCAATAAATGCAATCAATAAACTTCTCAGATGGATTAAGGTATTATTGCTTATTTTATTATTAGCCTATAATAGTACTGTCTGCCAGACTAGTTTACATCCAGCCATGGGTGATTGCTCTCATATTTTTTCCTTCTTTTTCAGAAAGAGGAAGATAGATTATTTATCCTGAATTCTCAGGTATTTTAAGCAAGATTCAATTGTCACACCAACGGTCTGACTAATCCTGCCTGGCATCAATTCTACCAACTCAAAATATTAATTTGATATGTTACCATGGCGATTCATATCTTAAATTTATAGCTTTTAGTGACGTCACATTCGTGACATATATGAGGGTATTTATATCACTTAAAACATTGCTGCTAAAATTACTACCATAAAAGCATCTTTGTGTCTTATTTGGTGCTAAAGTTATATTAGTCAAAAATGTCTTTAGAAAAATACTGTACATAATCTATATTACAATGTAAGTAAATCGAAATGGTAGAAAAAAATAAAATTTGGCCCTGAGAAAGAATTTGTGTGTATTGGTTGAGCTGGTTGAAAACGCATCTCTTGCTCCGGATTTTCCCAGCATCTGTTCAGTCGTCATAATATCGTTACTTTTTGTAATCTTGAGGTATTGAAATTAATTTATTTATTTTAGCCAAAACATCGTAAGATKATTCGCAGTTTAATGCCGTTAAGACGTAACAATTACTAAAGAAAGGAATTCCCCTACGTCACGACAATAAAAACAGAGTTTTCATCATACATATTTGAAGGCTGTAACTCAACTTGGTTACCGTAAAAATATTATAGTTTCACTCTTTAACCTTTAAATAATTGTTTTAAGTCGTTGCATTTGTGTCAACTTTTATATATTTACTGCATTATTGACCCAAATCCCACGAAACAATCGTTGGACGCCAATAAAGTGTAACTTTGATGATAATTGTGGACTGATAAGTAAAAACTTTATTTATCAATTGAAGTCGTTTTCACTGTACTTGGTCTACTTTCTTCAAGAAAAATAATGAATTTGATGGTTCCAAATAGGACATCATTAGTAAAAATAGTTTAATAGACTTTCGAAGTTATATTCGGGTGGTTACTGATRCCAATACTGTAGTGCATGGTATGATACTAAATGCCAAGGGATGAGCTGGAGTGATTTCGATAAGTGAAGAAAGAAATTTGTTTAATAAATGAATGACGAATTAACAAATGTCGGCTGTGTTGGCTTCAACTGCCCTGCATCTCGAAACCTGCCTTGGACATTAAACCGGTATCACATCCTGTGTAACAGATACCTTTAGTGAGCGAAGAGTCTAGTGTTTCACCCGTGTAATAATACACTTCCCTTACAGCCGCTGCCCTCGCTAAATTGTTTCGGAATAAAAACCCTGAATTCTGCCTTGCTYAAATGAAATACAATCCATTCCAGATTTCCTGGGATTAAAAAAAGGATTAAAGACAGGAACATTATAAAATGACAGGTTTTAGTAGGGAAAATAAAACCTGGTTGGAAGATATCCAACGGTTTGTCAAATGAATTTTTTGTCCGAAACACAGAATCCAAACTTTCCTAATGAGGCTTTAAAGGAAAAAAGAAAGGACAGTTTAAAAAAATGGTAAACATTCCAGATTGCTAAGAAAATTAGAAGCCTGTAGAAATCAGGTAATGAAAATGTATAAATTGTGTAAGTGCTGTGGTTAAAATTTATCTACATATGATAGTCTTCAACTTCTGAKCTTCCGAACTGAATTTTGCCACTGCATTAAAAGACCAACAGATAAAGAGGAYCCGCATACGACGATAACACTGTTCGAAGAATAACAAGAAACATCGACAGATTGAAAAGGTACGTGATGAACTGAGACTGCTGTGGTTAAAATTTATCTATATTTGATAGTCTTCAACTTCTGATCTTCCGAACTGAATTTTTGCAACTGCATTAAAAGACCAACAGATAAAGAGGACCCGCATGCGAAGATAACACTGACCAAAGAATAACAAGAAACATCGACAGTTTGAAAAGGTACGTGATGAACTGAGACTGCTGTGATTAAAATTTATTTACATTTGATAGTCTTCAACTTCTGAGCTTCCGAACTGAATTTTTGCAACTGCATTAAAAGACCAACAGATAAAGAGGACCCGCATACGACGATAACACTGACCAAAGAATAACAAGAAACATCGACAGTTTGAAAAGGTACGTAATCAACTGAGACTTTACTATTATCTACATTAATTAAGGATTTTTTTAATTCATCCTAAAAACAGCTTCAAGCTTAAAATTCGGGACAATAGCTTAAGTTTCGATTCTAGAATATGTTTCTGGTTACTTTTGGAAACTTTCTGCAAAAAAGAATTTTAAGACAAATGTTTTTGTTCCTCGTGTAATTACCCAAATATTTTTACGTGCTAAGCAGCCAGATCATTGGTAAGAATCGTTCCTCGTTAGTGTTCAGTCAAGTGTATAGCAAAGTCAAACTCCTAGTCCTCCTTTTGGTTTGGACGAGGGTGTGGTCATTGATAAATCAAGATTAGAGTTCCTGGTATAGGGAACAGGTCATCTTTTAGCTCGAGTCTTGGTTAGGGATGAGGCACTGCTAGGGTAAATATTTTGGTTGGCACATGGTTATTCCACTGCTGAGACATATCTAGGGTGAAGTCAATGTTATAGCCAGGTTGGAGTTCTTCAAAGAGCGACTTTTAATTGTGTCGGGACTTTTTTGGCAAGTATAAAATTCCTTTTAGAGTGAGGTTATAATTTTGGCTGGATCATGCTAGAGTGTGGTCAATATTGAGGCAAGAGTACTGTTTCTGGTAGAGTGGACCCATTACTTTGGTTGGGTTATGGTCAGCGTTAGTGTTATCGTGATAGTGAAGTTTAAGATGGTCAGTATAGTTTTTGATCCAGTGGTGGTCGTGGTTAAGCGGATTGGAACACTGCTACGTGGTGAGTGCAGGTC